ACAAAAACGACAGCAACTTGTCTGTTCCCCTTTCCCCAATTCCCCAGCACTGTTCCCATCCCCCCAATTCCCCAATAAAAATCTTTAAAAAAAAAAAAAGGTTCCTTTACAGCATCCATATCATGTCCTGTCTCGCACTAGGGAAAGGCCTTCTGGAATCAGCAGAGGGCTTGTGGTCCTGGCTACGTTTTCTCCTGCATAAATGATACCAGATCGGGTGAAGCTGGGATTCTGGCAGGTTGTAGCCACAGGCCCCGCAAGAGCCCAGATCTCGGGGAAGGCCCTGCATTGGGAAGAGCATAAGGGGGTGACTACTGAGGACATGTGGGGGGGGGCATGTCAATCAATATACCAGAGACACTGACTGGGCCTGCTGTTTAATTATTTTCTGCACAGATTGTTTTCTCACATGTGAAGCTATCACTTCCCAATGGAGTCAGGAACATAGAAAAAGTTAAGTTTAGAAAAGAGTTAAGAGAGAGAGAGAGAGAGAGAGAGAGAGAGAGAGAGAGAGAGAGAGAGCGAGGGAGGGAGAGAGAACTTCTAGCAGTGACTGTCTCTGGCACACTTTTTAGGTGAACTGATTAGCTGGCAGCAAAAAGGTCAGCTTGGGCACGATGTCCTTGAACAGCCATCCAATGGCCATCAACGAGAACCAGTTTCTGCTATCTATGCACTTTCCATTAAACCTTGAAAGGTGGTCAGTGGAGCCTCTGTAGCAGACCATCTCCTCACGATGCCTTCGTGTGTCCTGCCATCAGCACCCCCACCCTAGTTAGGCTGGGTCCACACTGTTTGCCTCATTAGGATTCTCACGTATGAATTGGGCAGTCCATCTGTAAGTTACCAGCACATACCAATTGCACTCAAATGGTGCATGTTGCTGTGATTCAGCAAGTCCACCTTAGGAACAGATCCTACAGCAACAATTCTGGACATGAACTGAGATGCAGCCTCCAGGGTTTCTTTCCCTGCACCACTGTATGGTCTGAAATAGTAAAGAATTGGAGACAACCCATATGTCCATCAATAGGGGACTCATTAAATGAAGGGTATAGCCGTACGATGGAACACGAGGCTGCCTTTCTCAATGTTGTTGCAGAAAACTATTTAATGACATAGAAATATGTTCAAGTTATATCAGTAAGTGAAAGGACAGGCTCCAAAGTACTACAGAGGAACAGCGATAACGTTTTCCTAATTTGGAGAAGGAAAAGTGTGCAGGTATATATATGTATACATACATACCAGGGGTGCCAAAAAATGTATACAAGTGGACACTTTGGTCAACGTTGCTCAAGCAGCAAGTAGTTTGCAGTAATCAGAAGTGTCTAGACTCTGATGGTAACCACTTTGAGCACCTCTTGTAATGGCAGAAGTCAAACGTGACTTGTATTCATCTTTTGTTATTGATATATATTGAATATTATTACAATGTTGATACAGTTTTCCTTTCTTAAAATGTGTATACATTTCTTTTTGACACCATGTGTATATGGCAATAGAACTAGGACATACACCAAAATGATAATAGTGCTTAATGGATTCACATGTTATTTTACATTTCTTCTTATTGTTTGTGTTTGAAATCTACACTGAAATTATGTTTATTTTGCAATCAAAAAGCTTTAAAAACAATTGTTAAAAATAAAATTTAAACTTCCCCATTGCAAGAAAAGAGGAAACAGAAAGAGCACAATGACTTCCACGAGTTGGAGCTGGAAGGCGCAGGGTCGGGCTCAGCTCGGGCGCACATCTTATATAAGGCTCTGCCTGCAGGACGGGGACTTTCAGCAGCTGCTGTCCCTGCTCCGGGCTGGGATCATGGAACTTCTTCTGCTCTGCGCGCTGGTGGTGTTTGCTGGTGAGTGGGGACAGGACCACGGCTGGGAAGGGACAGAGGGATGCGGGTAGGCTCTATATCTCTTTCCTAGACTGAGCTGCTGCTCTGATCCCCACTGCCCCGGACCCTCAGTTCCCCAACCCTCTGCCTCTTGCAAGGAGCCATCCATCAGTGGCTCCAGCCCCCTAGAACAGTGGCTTTGGCCAGAGAGCTCTGGGTGGCGGAGCTGTTGGCCTGCATCTAGACTGCTGTGAAAGTCGGAACTAAAGGTTCAGAACCCTGGGGTCCGCTGAGCTGAGAGTTATGGTTCTTTGGACACAAGTTGCAGAAATGGATCTGCCCACCTCACCCTGCTCCTCCGGTCCCTTTGACCTCATAATAATCAATTACGTAGACACAGCGCTCGATATTTTTAGAACCCTTTCATGATTACTCTTTGAATCTGAGAAGAGGGCTCTGCTGACTGTAGTGGGAGATGGGTAGTTTCAATTCGACCTTTAGCAGATCAAATATAAAAATGTGGTTGCTAGCAAATTGGAGTTTTTATTTCGGGACCATCTCAAAATATGTGACTTTAGAGAAAATGCCTTTATAAATGTGGTTGTTTGTTATCTTGGGACTCCCAAATTCTTGACAGGAACACATCTCCAGGGTTACAGCGAAAACCATTAGGAAAATCTCAATCAAGCTACCGAAATTCCTCTCTCAGATGTCAAGAGGCAATACCGTGTAGAGAAAATACACAGATGAACCTGATTCAAACACTGGCCTCACCCTCTCCTGGCAGTTTGACCTTGGCCAAGCCACCCTATCTCTCTCCTCATCTAAAGTGGGCACAATAGCACCCTCTTCATTGGGTTGTTAGGACACCAATGGGAAAATGTATACACTGCTTAGCAGGTGTAAGTAACAGTAAGCAAGCAATAGCATAACACACAGCACATGGACGATGGTGCAATGCTGTCTCCCACCCTGTGGGGAACCCTTGGGAGAAGGGGCTCATTGACAGGTAAGGATGGAGAAAGCAACAAAGGTAGAAATCACCGACAAGCTAAGCCAGTTCGCCAAAACCCTCATAGCCACAGATTGACAATGTCTCAGGGCTAGGTGCACCTCACCCTCAAACTAAGAAATGGCTTTCTGAATCAAAGAAGAATTAGTGGCTTGCCTGCCAAGGGAGCGCTGCTTTGTTCAAGTGTGAGTTGGCTTGTGTGTGTATTTCTAAGCTGAAATGGAAAGTGCTAGATTTAGGGCAGAAAGAGATACACCAAAAAAACAAAATTCCGAATTCAGGCCCCTGGTTGGCCCACAAGGTGGATGGTCACTCTCTCTAGAGTGGGTTTCTTTTGGGGCCTTTATCACTGAACCCAGGTTTCCAGATAGCCTGGGGTCACTCATTATCCCGGTCACAGCTTACAAGTTTTTTCATTAACATCTGTACAGCTAGAGCCACCATGTCAAACAGGAGTGGCAACGTGGGTGCTCAAACGTTGAGGGGACACACTGGGGACACAACAGGCCTTCAAGTACCAGACACTACCAGTCACTTTAGCTGCAGCCCAAGGCCACATGCTTATAATCTCACCCTTGGTCCACTGCACGATTCCCTCCCAACCCCCTCTTCCACCCAACCTTCCCCCATGTAGGGCTCACCCCTGGTTTACTATTTAATTCATTTGCTTGAGGAACTTCCATTATAACATCATTGACCTGAGGGTGGGGAGCTCCGTAACTAGGGTCACCCAAAGGGGCCTACCCAGCCCAGCCTCCCTGAGACTCTGAACCCCATCTGTGTTGGTGAGTCACCTGTTGAGGTTGCACTCATGGACTTTTCAGTCCCCTTCTTATTTTGTCTGTTTCTCCCAAACTCTCCCCTGAATTTGCTGACTTAACATATTTCATTTCTCCTTGCTCATCATAATGCATTCTTCTCTCCTGATAAAACAGAGTTTCCTTACGATCACTTCTAACCACAAGATATTATGACTGACATGAAAAATATTCATGAAAATCACTGATTTCTAAATCACACTGCCCTCAGAAGATCCAGCCTCCTCTTTAATATGTGGATTTCTCTACCAAGTGTGGTGTTGGGGTGCGGGTGGGGGCTGTAGGAAGCAGGGGGAGGCTTCCTATTATGGGGTGGCACCTCAATACACAGGGACAGAGCACAGAACCCAGCTGCCTTGGGTGTCAACTTTGGCTCCTCCGTTTCCCAGCCACTGTTACCCGGAGCAAGTTACTGAACCTGCTCACCTCTAAAATGGGGGTTAAAAGTAGTAGTTATTGTACTCATGTTGGTTTCTTAGTTTTCATAAGTATACCTCAATTTTGTAAGATGATAATAACAGGAGAGGAAAGTGGATGAGGGGTGCGTGAGAACTCTCTGTAGAATCTTTGCAACTTTTTTTGTGCAACTAGGATAAACCAAAAGAAAAAGTTTCTTTAGAATACAAAAATAGTATCTATCTCATAGGAGGCATGGAGTCAAAAAATTACTATGTGAAAAGACCCCTAGTCAGCACTCACTCGCTATCATTATATTTTTATAGCCGCAGTAGTGGTTGTCATTTTATTATCCCAGGTCATCGGTTTGGTCCATGTGGGGCCGAGGTGCCAGGCCTGGGGTCCACTGACCTCTCCTGAGACTCAGGTCCTCTCCTTGTTGTTGGGTCCTTGGCAGGTGTGACTCCAACGCAGGGCGGGATTCTGAACCTGAACAAGATGGTCGAACAAGTGACCGGGAAGATACCCATATTCTCCTATTGGCCCTACGGCTGTCACTGTGGACCTGGTGGCAAAGGCCCACCCGTAGATGCCTCGGACTGGTAATCCCTTTCTAGGCAGACACGGGTGGCAGTCCTGTGCTGCCCCCACCCCAGAACTCCCTCCTTCCCCTCCATCCATTTATTCATTCTGTGAATTCGTTTTGTGCTGTGTGCTCGGAACTCTGCTGAGCTCCCATACAGACCCAGCCCTCCTGGAGCTTCCCTTCTAGAAGGTTCCCCAGAGTCTCTGAAGGCCCCCCTTGCACCCCAAAACCCTAATCGAGTCACAGTGACCACACAGACTCCCTCTGCCATTGCACAGTGTTTTGAAAAATTAGTTTTGCACTTATCTCATTTGATCTTCACCACAATCCTGGGAATCGAACAGAGAAGACATGAGAGCCAGCCAGGCCCAGTTCACTTCCCTGATCGCCCTATTACAGGCTGTGTGACCTTGGGCAAGTGGCCAGACCTCTCGGCGTCTCAATTTCCTCATCTGTGAAATGGGGACAACACTAGTACGCCTGTCATGGGGTGATAGAAAAAATTAAGAGAGCACTCATAGAAGAAGCAGGTGCCTGGTACCTACGAAGGTCTCATTGATACTTAGCCAGCCTGCCCATAAAGAAGAGAGAACCCCGCAGGCCTTGACTCTTCAAAGAGGTCACTTTGGTTCTTCCCTGGGGCCGGGGCTGCCAGAAACCCAAGTTAGCTAAGACCCCTGAAGCTGTGCTCCCTGCCTCACCTCCTGTCCTCTCCCTCCAGGTGCTGCCATGCCCATGACTGCTGCTATAAGCACCTGAAGCTCCACAATTGCCGTATCCACAGGGACCATTACACCTACAACTTTACCCAGGGGAACATCCAGTGCTGTGAGTGCCTGGGCCATGGAGTCCGAGTTGGAGATGGAGGGCGGGGGGGAGTTCTGGCACTCCTGCCTTCAGATGCTATGCGATTACACAGAAGCTACTCAACCTGTGTTTTTCTCATGTGTGCAGTGGCAACAGCTGGGCTGTGGAGGAGGGGCAGGAATGGGAGGGAGAATACGGGCAGGTCCAATGAGGGTTTGGCCCCTTTAGGATCAGGAAGGCTGGCAGACCTCAGCTTAGATCCCAGACCCACCTCTGACCAGCTGTGTAACCTTGAACACATTGCTCAACCTCTCTGAACCTCAGTNGGCCCACCCGTAGATGCCTCGGACTGGTAATCCCTTTCTAGGCAGACACGGGTGGCAGTCCTGTGCTGCCCCCACCCCAGAACTCCCTCCTTCCCATCCATCCATTTATTCATTCTGTGAATTCGTTTTGTACTGTGTGCTCGGAACTCTGCTGAGCTCCCATACAGACCCAGCCCTCCTGGAGCTTCCCTTCTAGAAGGTTCCCCAGGTTCTTTGAAGGCCCCCCATTTAACTCCCAACCCCTAATCGAGTCACATAACCCCCACACACTCCCGATGCCATTGCACAGTATTTTTAAAAAGTCCCACCTCTTTTTGCCATTATCTCATTTGATCTTCACCACAATCCTGGGAATCGAACAGAGAAGACATGAGAGCCAGCCAGGCCCAGTTCACTTCCCTGATCGCCCTATTACAGGCTGTGTGACCTCAGTCAAGTGACTTGACCTCTCTGATTCTCAGTTTTCTCATCTGTGAAATGGGGACAACACTAGTACGCCTGTCATGGGGTGATAGAAAAAATTAAGAGAGCACTCATAGAAGAAGCAGGTGCCTGGTACCTACGAAGGTCTCATTGATACTTAGCCAGCCTGCCCATAAAGAAGAGAGAACCCCGCAGGCCTTGACTCTTCAAAGAGGTCACTTTGGTTCTTCCCTGGGGCCGGGGCTGCCAGAAACCCAAGTTAGCTAAGACCCCTGAAGCTGTGCTCCCTGCCTCACCTCCTGTCCTCTCCCTCCAGGTGCTGCCATGCCCATGACTGCTGCTATAAGCACCTGAAGCTCCACAATTGCCGTATCCACAGGGACCATTACACCTACAACTTTACCCAGGGGAACATCCAGTGCTGTGAGTGCCTGGGCCATGGAGTCCGAGTTGGAGATGGAGGGCGGGGGGGAGTTCTGGCACTCCTGCCTTCAGATGCTATGCGATTACACAGAAGCTACTCAACCTGTGTTTTTCTCATGTGTGCAGTGGCAACAGCTGGGCTGTGGAGGAGGGGCAGGAATGGGAGGGAGAATACGGGCAGGTCCAATGAGGGTTTGGCCCCTTTAGGATCAGGAAGGCTGGCAGACCTC